TGAAGCCTCGGTTGCGTTGTGTGGTGACTGTACTTATTCGCAGTACAATACTGTGTATTATGACCTCTAGGTTTTGTTGAGCTGTCTTGCTGTGCCTATATTTAGAATGCTTGGAGGCCTAAAATTTACACACTTGCACCCTAAATTTTAAAGTTTTGAGTTCTATGACTTGAAACGTTCGAATTCCTTGAATTCATACGTAAAGATTTTGAGCATTTGGAAATTTCCAAAAATTTCCAGAAATCATGATATCAGCAGCGTTTTAGATTAGGAAAAGAAGACAAAGAAAATATATAATGGGCATGAAAAAAGACTAACTTGCCTACTGTGTTGGAATTTTTTTTTTCGTCTATCTGAAAAAAATGTATTTCAAATATCAAAATAAAAAAATTCGTGCGATAATCCGTTTTTAGACGTGGAAAATTAAACTTAGGATTACTTTGACCATTTTAATTCAATTTGGTTCAATTATTGCGCGATTGCGCGATAAAAAATAGCATAGGCGGCAATTTAAATAGATTCACATTAATTGAACCAAGTAATTTTTCTTTTTAATACACTAACAGGCACAAAAAAACTTCTTTGAATAGCTCGTGAAAGAGTGTAAAAAATAAAACACAAAAAAAAATTAACAATTTTTTAATGTGACAAAAACTTTTTCATTGACATGAAAGATCAGTCAAATGCTCACGACCTTGGCTTGATTTGACCCGCCTTGTTCCAATTCAACCCATCGCATGCATCTAAACGCATTGCTTTATAAACATGAGTAGTATAATTTTTAATAATAATCATAATAAATTGTTTCCAAAACATATTTTACTTTTCATCAATTTTAATATATTCATTTCACAATAGTGGATCACTTTGGTAGATCGCCATTAGACACAAACTGTCTGTTTTCAGGTTTCTAGCTTTTAAGAATTGCATTTGACCTATTTAAATTTTTTTTAAATTTTTTTAATATTTAATTTTAACTTTCTTCTCCAATTTGTTTAATGATTTACTCAAAGCAGATTTTCTTTATTCTTTTTTCTAGATGTCATTGGGTCCATTAAAGTATTCTGAATGTAAATAGTGACTTTAAAAATATATAGAATCATATATGTATGTCTGTATAATGTTTTATAAGTGTAATTAAAATTAAATTGTAAATAGTATTTCCAACCCAGCAAAAAAAGAGGCAAAGCTTGCAGTCTATTTGTAAACTTTTCTAATTAGTTCATCACAAGCTAAAATGTAATTATCTAAAAACATGTGGTAGAACTTTTCCAACTCAGTATGGCTAGCGCTTTGAAAGAAAAACTTATAAATCTGAGCTATAGGAGGTCATAAAATTGAACAGACTTTTTATCGTAGCCCAAAGTAAAGGTTTATTGAAAGCTTATTGCAATCACGGACAAATTTTTGAGTTTCGGTCTCCGTGTCTTGATCATTATAAATTCAGCATGATAGAAATAAACTTTTTAGGGTTAATGAAGGGCATTCATTTCTCAACAATTTACCTTATAGTTTTAGTAGTTCATAAACGTAGAATTCCTTCACGGTGTGAGGTCGTTTTTGATTTTTAATTTGCTTAAATGACTGATTGCATTTCTTGAAATAGCAAATTTTTTTACAGGATTTTTATTAATAGAAAGATCAGTCAAAATGCTCACGGCCTCGGCAGTTGATACGAGCAGTTTTGTTCAGATTTAACCCAACATATTCAATTAAACGCACTTTTTTGAAATACATGAGGTGTATAAATACATTTTTTAACATACAATTTTCAAACTTTTCAATATTTTTTTTCATTGAAGCCTTGAATGTTGCGATTACCCATTAAAATATCTGAAGTAGTTTTTGATGCTCAATTTGCAAAAATTAGCTGATCCTTTTTCGGTTCCCCATTCTGCGAGTTTATATTTGTAACTTTTTATTCACATTCTCTGATTGTTACAAGAATTGGCATGCGAACGTATTAAGCCATGACATACCTTATCATTGATATTCATACTTGTGTTTGTAAAATCCATCGTTAACACATAAAATTGTTGCACATGTGAGGTTGGGATGGGGGTGGGGGTAGAGCCCAATTTGTTTCCTGCAATTCAGTTTGGAGTGGTCTCTCAATCAGCTTAACTTGCCTTTCCTACTAGGTTTTATTAGAAAACTGGCAAATGACGCGAGTTAATTATTAAAATTTAAGTAATTCCATGTAGTCCCAATTTTAAACGCCATGAGGCGGCTAAAGCCTATCTGAGTTGAATTGTTTATTTTAAAAAAATCATTTGAGCTCAGGGCGTCATCATCTTGTAACCCGTACTGAACTTTTTGTTCCATTTCACGGCTGATCATCCATTTAGCAGGGGAGAGAAAATTCTCAGGACTGTTCCCCCATTATGCAGGGCTGTTCAGAAGTGAGCATGCGTATTTTTCTACAGACATGGTCGTACCTGGATCTTACATGATCAGACCTGAGTGAAACATGTTCATGCCTGCCGCAGACATGATAACGCCTGACTGAAAACTTGACAAATACATATTTATTTATACATTACTTCGCGTATCTTGACTAATTGGTCTTTGTTGTTATAATTTCACTTTTTCAGATTTTGTTCGAAATGAGTTTATCCAAATTTACCTCCTCGAGCCAACCATCTTCAATTGAAGGAAATTATGTCGTCTCTACATCCCAAAAAAGAGGACGTCAGGTTAGTTTCAGGGGGCAACGGGAGGGATAGTCGAAAAAAACTAAAAATCCCCAGTTTGAACTATAATTAAAGCAATTCGTCACAAAATTTTTTGGCCAAAATTCCTTCAATTTTCGCGAACCAGTAGCCGCAATAAGTTCGAATAAATTAAAAAGATTCGATTGGTTGATACTATTAATCTCATTGAATAAATTAACAACAAATGTGCGACTACTTTTTAACGCATGATTTTTGTCTAATTTTATTTGTTAAGCATTTATTTAAAGTGATGAAGTTTTGACTAACAATTAGTTTTATGTTGACAGGAAACAGAGAAAAGTATCCACACGCCCCGCTACCAACGACTCCTTGCTGGCAATTAAAGAAAGATGCATCTAACCACTACAGTATATATTGAACAAAAAACTTCACCGATGTCAGAAAAAATCTGAAAAAAAATAAAAATTTGAAGTAAAGTGTCACATTATCAAGCTGAGTTTATGATGTTGTTACAAATTAACCATATCTTTAATAATCTTATAATACTGAAGATACCGATTTGAGCATATTCGGTTCAGGCATGGTCATGTATCCTGCAGGTGTGAGCATGTTTAGTTCAGGTATGATCATGTATCCGGCAGGTGTGAGCATGTTCAGTTCAGGCATAATCATGCATGCTGCAGGTGTGAGCATATCTTCAGTTAGCACACCTGATGCAGGTCTGATGCAGGTATGTGCATGCCGAATATAGACATGCTGCACATCTGTAACAGACATGAATTTTGCATGATTTTACAATGATCAGATATGATTATGGCCAAAAAGTTCGGTACGGGAAACTGTTTAAAAATTTCCGTCAAAAAATTGCTACTTAAAAAGTGGAAATTTGGAGAAAAAACCACCCCGAGAACAAACTTTTTGATAATAATAACTGGAAAATAACTGGCAAAATGCATAAATCATAAATCCAGCATTTAGTTGCTATAGATTTATATGCATTGGTTGCTTGGTCAAATTAGGGTGTATGTCTTCTTGGTTTGAAAATGTCAGGGTGTAGATACAACCGTGAATGCTAACTGCTATACCAGATGTCAACCGAAGCTTTTCGCAGAAATATTGCTAGTTGCTACCTTTTGGTCACGTTATTGGTATTACATAATCAACAGGTGTCCAGTCTGAAAAGATTTATCGCCCGCAGTCAATAAAGGGGAGGGGCCGCGCAGTTATTGTTCGTCTTAATACAGGCAATAGTTTCTGAAAATAACGTTCGCGGTAAAGATTTAATAGGAAACAGAAGATAGGTTATTTGCAAAAGGATTATTTAACTTTCCTTAACCGATGAATCGACGAATCAAACAATGAAAAAGTATAGGTTGAAAAGAATTGTCAACTTTATCAATCAGCCTAAAAAACTTTCAAATTATTCAACCGTCCAAACCGTTCGATCATCTGCTACCAGGGCGGGATTGGGAGACAAAAAGAAGCGTATGGGAGGGGGGAAGGGCTTGGCATTTTTGAAATTAATGACTGCCAACATAATCCGTACCCAAAAGTACGAAATTACGTAGGAGATCAACCTGACATTTAATCAACTCAGGGTGAGCTTTTGCTTTTTGATTTAATGATGTTTGTCAAGGGCATCGGAAACCTTAGCGAACTGATGTCATTTCAAACTCACATTAAGAAATGATCAAAATAACACACAAAAAGATTCTTTCGAAAGTCTTCATTTGGGAAAGATTTGCATGTCGGCTGCTGTCGATTATGATTGTTAACTTGACTGAAATACTTTGTAAAACTAACCACTTAGACGGTTTTTGAATATTTTAGTAAGCTTTCGGTGCTTTGAAATTTTATTAGTTTTTAGTTATTGGCACTATTTCCCACATTGATAAGCTGCAATTTAGACTAAATGGCTATTTGACTGCCTTCATAAAAGTACCTGTTATGAAAGTTACTCCAATTCAGATTTCAACAACAAGCCTTACCCGTGCACCGTTTCAGTGCCTTTCAAAGTTGGTTTACATAGTCTGACCAATCTTGAGTTTACCGATAAAGCATTAGATTAATTTTACACCAAATATTTGCGTTTGCTCACACACATACCTTTTAAAAGTCGACCCAATTTATATTTACTAAAAGGAAGTTAGAAGCCCATATTTGTTTGCACCAACCTAATATATTTAATTCTAGTACATGTAAGCCTCTAATTTAATTCATCGTTACTTCTTTTGAGACCAATTTTATCAAATATGATCAAAACATATTGTGTTTAGAACAAAAATTCAAATAACCCGATTTGTTTAGCTACTGCTTTCTGCCTAGATATCTATCGGTGTGGAGAACTATTGCGCCTCTTAATCGAGCTTATTTCAACTTTGACCAAACAAGCGAAAGAGGTACAAAAACAGTAGTATGACCGAAGGCCAAGGGGTTATCATGCTGCAATCAACCTACGCCAAAAACAACATAAGTATTCCTGAAAATAGAGGATTTTCATCGGAGTCGTCAACTCGATTCGATTTCAATTCCCTAAAGCCGAAACCAAAATCTCCACTGAAAAAAGACGAACACGCGATGTGTAACTATAATTATTTGAATAGTAATGAAAGCAAAATCAGACGAGAAGCCGATGACGTTCGACAGTCCTCCGAGGCCTTGGGCACTAATGCAAGTACATTGGAGGGTCAAATTTTCAATTTCTCTTTAGATGATGAAACTGAATTTAATATGCCTAGTTATGGTGACGACAAACTTTCTGGTCGCAATTTTACTGTCGGATTTTTGGATACAAATTACCCTTTCTCGCCCGGAAGTATCTGGAATTTCGATGCCAACGATTCTCATCCGCATCTTCTTAAATCTTATTCATGCGCCGCTGGTGGTAATTTTCTCGTCTGCAATCCTGAATCGACCGAGGAGACCGACTCCTGTCCCGTTACTCCTCTGACTCATGATTCAGGGATATCCGAAGGGGGGCTCTCTCCCGGATGCCATTTAACTCTGAGTGACAGTGAGAGTAACAGTGGGGGAGGGGCCGGAGACTGTTTTTCAACCTCGTCCAGCGGGGATTCCAGTCCAACTTGCTGGCCCTCACTAACAATGTCGCAGAAAATGAACAAAGCAGATAGTGATAGCGTCGTGAACAGGTAAGACTTTATTAGACTCCCTCGTTCCCAAATACTGGTTGCCAATGTTTCCAGTGTTTTCTCCTTTCTTAATATTATTTTTGAAAACAATTGATGGCTAACCAACCCTGAAAGTTTTCAAAAGACGCCTTTGGCGCCAATATAATCCAAAAGTAAGTCAAAATTTTCTAAAAAAAACGCTAAAAAATGGCGTTTGCTTCCAACCAATTAGCTGCGGCTCAAAAACTTGAATTTGTTGATCTTAGAAGAACGAGAAAACATTTCAAAAATTAGAGCCTCCGAAAAAAAGTTCCCGCCCATGCCACTGCTCAGATTCTGTGCAAGTGATATCCGGTGGCTGTGCAAATAGCACTGAATTGACCGACCAAGTCAAGAAAGGAAATTCAAAAGTACGAACAATATTCGGAAAAAATGGAAACCAGTTTTACTTTTTTTCAATTTTTTCCCCTTTTTTTCTTAATTTACTCTTATTTGTTTTTTTTTGCTAGTGCATAAGTTAGGTGAAAATCAATTTGCTGAATAGGTTACTGAAAAAAGCGGAGAAGTGGAAGAATTTAAAATGGTAATCGATAATGTTGATATTCATGTTGAAATTAAAAGGTAGGTCTGTCTTTCATCAAGTTTTGTCTACATAAGTCTGAAAACCAAAAAACATTCGAACCAATTTTTCTCGGCGCTGAAAAAATGTTATCATTTTTTCTTGAACCTAAATTACGGACAAAAAAAGCTTCAGTATCATTTCGTATTTGATCCCTACGAGTTTTCCCTTATTCTGTCAAAGTTGGCTGGAAAAGCTGTTAAAAAATTGTATTTAATCCATCGTTCCTTCCCATTTTTCAAGAGTGGTCGGAACATTAAATTGATAAGGAGTGTTTTGGGACACTCTTGATAAGGCGTGTTTGGATAAGGCACTTTTATTCTCGTGCCGAATGTACGCGCAGCGGAGCAAGCGTATTCTACTTGCCGTTACTTTGTTACAAATTGTGCTTGTTAGAAATTGTCGCCTGTTTCGAATTCTCGCCAGTTAAGAATTCTCGCCAGTTAAGAATTGTCACCTGTTACGAATTGTCGCCTGTTACGAATTGTCGTTTGTTACCTGCTACTGTCGCTTGTTGCGGTATAATTCGACAAACCAAATTTACATTAACCTGCAAAGCGAGAATCTTCAGACGCACTTTTTCAGGAAAATTTGAAAATTTTGTTAGAGGCCCTGAAAAACACCTTCATTGAAAGTAGCTTATTTTCACAGCCTGACTATTGTTTTTATTTTAGTCTTATTGCATAAATTACTGTCTAGACACATAAAATAATTTGTCTGAGATTGTGTAAGAAGCCCAAAATCAAAGCTATTTGTCTCTCCTAGAAAATAGTGTAGGGTTTTTATTACTGTTGAAATAGCTCTGAAAGGGTTTCAAATTGATTTATCACTGAACATTCTACTATTCCTACTATGCGACCTAATTTACTTGGAAAAACATGATAATTTTTGGCTACTTCTGTTGCCTATTTAGTTTCTGTTTTCATTTGTAAGTAAGTTTTGCCGGAAAGGTATAGGAAAAGATAAATAGAGGGTTGCTGACAAGACGTGATAAGTTTCAGTTGTATGATTTATTATATTACCGGAAGTGTTTGGTTGTATGTTTTAGAAAGTGGGGGCTGGTATAAAAACATCTGAATATTTGTCTATCACCAGGGGTGGATCTAGATTTTCTCGAGGGGAGGGGGGCTTCTTTTTTTTTAGTTCAACCAAATTAATTTTCCGAGTACTCCCAGAACAGAACAATATAAACATTCTATTTCTATTTTTACCGAAAATTTTGAGCAGCAGGCAAACTTTTGAATTTGAAAAAACGGTTCAAAAAACCGTTTTTGGGTACTTTTTGAAAACTTTTGACCAAAAAAATGTGTTTTTTTTTTTGCCGTGCGCTCCCCTTCAAAACAAGTAAATAATGGCGCCAAAGGCGCATTTAGAAAAAATTTAGTGTTGGTCGGCCTAAAATGAATGTCATTAGAAAATAACAAAGAACGCATTTTTTGCAACAGCAAAGTTTACACATTTTTTGTCCACTTTATGTAATTTGCTGAAACCGAATATTTGAGTTTTGATCCGGCTACGGAAGTGTAGAGGAACTTTCGGCTATTCGACGGGATTTGTAGGAAACATTGGGCAACACAAAATAAAACGCCAGATGGGCTCAATATATAGCAATGGAAGGGTTTCAGTCAGTCGTGATTAAAAACATTTTTAGTGTCGACCAAAACCGCCTCTTAATTCTAGCTTTTTGGATTTAGAATTTGGCAATCAACTTACTTTTTTTTCTGTTTTAAAGGGACTAAAATTTTTTTATGCATTGATTAAGTATAAAGAAAAAAAATGTGGTCGGATTTTTCCAAAATATTGCGTAATAAGTCATGGTAACTGTCAGGGGTGGATCTAGGATTTTCTCGAGGGGTGGGCGGATTTTCAAAAAATATTCCAAAATTTTGACGACTTTTTTTTAGGTCGACCAAATTGATTTTTCGAGTTCTCCCAAAGCACTGTTTTGCCCCTATTTTGGCAAAATTTTCTGCGCTGCAAGCAAATTTTTGAAAAAACTGTCAGAAAAGCCGTTTTTGGGCACTTTTTGAAAAATTGTGACAAAAAAATCGCGTTTTTTTTTGGCGCGGGCTCCCCCTCAAAGTTAGTATATATTGGCGCCAAAGGCGCCTTCAAAAAAAATTTTAGGGTCGGTCGGCCAAAAATGGATTTCTGTAAAAATATCAAAGGGGAGACCCTTTGGGTCGGCAGGGGGTCGAATTGCTGAGGGAAGGCGTGCGCCATAAATCCGACCCTGGTGTTTGTCGTTTATGACAGTAAATGCAAAAATTTTGACTAGATTCGGCTTTAGTCAAATGTGCGTGACATCAATCTTCAATAGATTTCACTGTTACCAAAAAAAAATAATTATTTACGTAAGTTTGATCGTAATAAATTTAGAAATTATTAAAAAATACCACCTTAGTCATATCGATACATTACTAGAAAATTAAAAAAAAAATTAAATCGAATTTAATGACTCTCATATTAGATTCCTCACCCGATTCGAGGAGTCTTATGCAATTTTGTGAGGGCATTGCAACTGCAAAAGGAAAAAAATTAACATGACACATTTTGACTATTCTTTGCGTGCTGATCTGATAGAAAGAGAAGAATTTAAATTTGAAACCGATGAATTCAAAAAACGACAGAAAGAGGGAGAGGGAGTCTAGCTGAGATGTGTGTTGTATTGTGGTGTATCAGGAGGTCACGCTGACAAGCTTTTTGCCAGTTTCCGCTCAACTCAGCAAAACCAGTCAGTGGAAAAAAATAACAAAAAATTCGAATAAATGACGAGAAAAACTTTTAAAAAAAGAACGGAAGCGAACTGACTATAACCAACTGACTTTTGTTTCTGTCGATCTTAGTTGGATAGTTAGCACTGAAAACTGATCTCCAACTGTGCAAAGTTGGCGTTTTACAGGAAGCTTTTCAGAGTATTGACTTCAACTAAAAGTGAACAAATAGGGGAGGGGGAGGGGAGGGGAGAGGGGGAAGTGCGTGGTGAGAAGAGTGGGGGGAAGGGGGGGATCTGCTATGTGTAGGGATGGTGTAAATGCATATATGAAGATGTCTATCTACAGTGAAAATATAATTTGGTCATTGTTGGTTAGATGAAAGTCCGGATTACATTAAGAGCAAGGGAGAGAAAAGAGAAAAGAAAAAACGGAAATCGTTTTAAAATCCATTTTTTCATTCCATTTAGTTGGCTTTTAACTTAGTTCTTTTTACCGCAGGTTTGTTCGCAAATTTTTTTGATCGCAATTTGCACATTTACTCGAATTTTCATGAGTGATTAATTGAGCAGACATATTATTTTAGTTTAATTTTATTTAAATAAAGATTGTCCAATTGGTTCTAGTCGACAATTAGTACATTTTATCCGAGCTGATAAATTTAAAAGTTTCAGTTGCAAGCTTCCGTTTACATTTATTAAAATTGTAATTAGTCTAAGCATTTTGTTTACAGTAAGATATCTCACAATTGCGACATCAAAAACAAGAAAAACAACAATTCCATCAGCCAGAAGAGTGAGAAAAACATCAGAAGAGGTGAATTTATGTCGTCAGGAATAAGATTCGGAGGCAGCGTATCTAGCGAACACGCCACAATATCCCCCCTAAGTAGCTCTTGCTCCCCTATTGCCAATGGAATTTCTTCGACAACCTCATTATCGTCATCATCTTCATCATCTTTGCCCCCCTGCTCTAGAATAATAGGTGCTGGGGTGGGGACTATTATATCTACAGCTCATCATGATTTGCCAGCATCTTCGCCTTCATATGACTCGTTTCGTTACTCACCTCTGTTCGAGATGTCAAAAATGACAACATCAATGGGCGAAGAAAGATTAAAGGAGAAAAATGAAAACTTCATCGAAAACGACAATCAGATCTTCAAAAACTCATCAAAATTGACGTCATCGCAGTTTGATTTGTTCTTAAAATCCAGGTGCACTTTAAAAAACATTCTAATATTGATGAAAAAAAAAGAATAAGATTTTCAAATTTGATTGTTTTACATTTCAATTTAAAAAAAAAACACTTATTATTGAATTCTAGTTCGACTTAGCCTATTATTCAACACTAAATTTCAAATTTTTGACCAAAACCAGAAATTTGGACAACTTTATGGCTCAAAACCACCATTTTTATTTTTTTTAAATAAAATTCAGTTGTCAAAAGAAATATGAACGCTCTTCAAACATTCCGAAATTGAGGTAATAACAGATTGTTTAGATCTACTTTCTTTCCCGTGGGCAAAATGCCTGCAACTTCAACTGCATCTGATAGCGTCTTCCCCAGTCTGACCTCACGTGACCCATTGGAGGGGGTCAATGACCTATTAGAAGACATGAGTGAAGGGATAATGGGAATGGAACGAGAGCCAGATAAGGATGCAATCAAGATGTTTGTGGGTCAGATTCCGAAGAGCTGGGACGAGGAGAGTTTCCGAGAGTATCTGGAGAAGTTCGGCGACATGTACCAATTGAACATTTTGAGGGATAAAGTCACAAATGAGAGCAAAGGTCAGTAGAGGTTAAGAAAAAACGCCTGCATTAGCAAAACTAAGCTTACAATCGATTAAAATCAATTTTTAAACCGATTAATTACTAGTGAAAAATCGATTGCTTGAACACTAAAATTGATAACATAGAAATTTAATACCGTTCAAAATTATCGATTTTTTGTTTAAAAAAATTATTAATGGATTTTTTTGCGGTGTTAAATTTGCGTCGGATCTGTATAAAATACCCCAGAAACCGTATAAAATTGACTAGATTGTCTTAAATAATATATTTTATTGTGTCTGGAAAACTTCAATAAAAACCCAATGTCTCAAGGTCGATTTTTTTTTTCACAAAACATATCGAACTTGTACTTAAAAAAAACCTCCCTCAATGTTATAGTGAATTAAAGTCACTTGAGAAGAGTTGCTTACAAAGTCTGTTTTTCTTTCTGTAAGATGCATTCAATCTGTAGATATTTGTGATGTTTTTCAGCAAACTTTCAGAAAATTTCAATATCAGCAAACAAATCTTTGCCTTGAGTTTCATGTTTTGACCGAGATTTTACTTTTCTAGAATGGGACTCTTTTCCACACAGAAAAGTATGAAGAGCAGGTTTTAGATGAAAGCTTTTTCTGCCTCGTTTCGGTTCTGAGGTAGTTCTGTTTGGGGTACCTGGGTGCAACATTTGATTTCATTCGCAAGTTAACCGTAATTATCGGAAATTACGAGTCACTGACATAAATTTTGGTATTTAAAAGCAGAATTAAATGTCATCAAGTACGCAAAATGAAAACAATAAAAAAAAACAATTTTAAAACAGCACCTGAACAACTTGTGAACCATGTTTTGGTCTTTCAGTTTTTTCACCACAAAATTCATTAGTTACGACCTTGATTTTTCTCGCTATGAATTCTAGCGGGAACAAAAGCAAAAAAATTTGAAAAAGCAAATAAAACAAGCGACAGAAAAATAAAAAAGAATAGCCGCTTACTGTGGAAGTAGCACAGAATGTTCCGACCATAGTCTTTAAAAAAATTACAAGATAAAGCTTTTTTTCAAATTAGTTTTTCTGTGTGGGGTGATAGTAAAGCCTGATGTAAAACTATATTTTAAGCATATTGGTTATTCATAGTAAAAACGGAAAATAAGACGCAACAATTTCATGGAAAAGTGACTAGAAAACAAAAGTAAAAAAAATCAAAAGATTTCAATTTTTTTTTACAAATTTTTTGCAGAGAATTTTCCATTTTTTTGAGGTTTTTGGTTTCCAGAATGGAGCTACAAAACTCCAAAAAATTAATTTTACATTAAAGTTTTTAGTGCTTAAATTGTAAATTTGTCCTAATTCAGCTGTTGTAAGCCTGCTCGCTTGCTTTGTTCGCTCGAATTAAGACGAAAAATCAAAATATTCAAACCGGTTTTTCTCAACACTGGGAAAATCGTTTTTCAATTTTTTGTAATGTCGTTCGAATTACGACTGAAAAGGCTTTAAATTGATAAATCACTCAACCCAGTCCGGCGATTAATTGTGGTAGCTGATTTTGCGTGGAACTAAAAAGAAGAAAAATAAAACACACCCAAATACAAAGTTTCTCCCAATTTTCAATGGTCGGAACAAAAATAGCATATAGTTCTTATTCAGGGCATACAATCAGCTTTCCGTAGAAAACTCATAACTCAAAAATGCTGGTCTTTTCCCTCTTGCTTTTAGGGTATTAATGAAACAATTAAAGGATGTACTCTAAACAAAAAGTAATTAAACTGCTGATTGTTAGATGACGATGATTATGTTTTTTCTCAGGATGTGGCTTTGTGACGTTCTACACGCGTGATTCTGCAATTGAAGCCCAGAGAAGTCTACATGACAAAGTGGTACTTGACGGGGTGAGTATTTAAGAGTTTCGTAGTTAAAGTTAGTGACCTCAAAATGGGAATTCTTAATAGCTGAAGTACAGAACTTCAGCAGAGTGTAGAAGCCAATAAGCAATCAGTGTTCAATTGTTACGACTTTCGTAACGAAAGTAACGAAATATTTGTGCTCGGGATGGGTTTTTTTCTTCAGACAAATTTCGATTTTTTAACTAGCCATTTTTGACGGAAAGTTTTTTTATCATTCTAAAGGTATTATTGTCCTGAGCTTAAATTTGAAAAGATATTTCACATATGATCATTTTTCGTAAAGTTATGGGGTTTTGAAAAAATGCAGTTTTGGTCAATTTGGGACATTTAACGCGCGATATATATTTCGTGCTTTTAACGCTCAAGCGGAGATTTAATCCGCCTTAGAAATCGTTCCAAATTGGTTGAAGGAAATTTATTTGCCATAATTTATTTGTTAAAAGGAGAGAATCTATCACTTTGTACTTTATATGGCGTATGGGGGATAATTTTCACAAAAAAATCATTTTTTAAATAATTTTTTCCATTTTATTTCATTATTTAATGTTCTCATGTTATTACTGCTCCGTAGACCTCAACAGGCGATCAGAACAATGAGGGCCTCGCCCTGCTAGGAGGAGTTTTTTTCAACCAATTTATCAAGTTTTTATTTACCAAGTTTCAATTTTTAAATTTATCAAGTTTATCAAATGTTTTGGCTTTTTTGCTTGGATCTGTGCTTTGCTATTAGCACGTACTGAATAATAAACGTCAAATGGGTTTAAGTGAACCCCGAATGCTTTTTATATAGAATGAGAAAATGCTAGTCATACAAGTTTTTAAAGATTTCAAAATGAATTTTAATCCCCCTCTCCTCGGCGCGCTACTGCTCTACACTGAAACAACATTTTATTTTTTTTTGTAAATTACAAAAGATAGGGCTTTAACTTCAATATTGTTTTACACATCACTTTATACTAGCTTTCCTTGAAGGAAAAATTATGGGAGGAAATAATTAGAAGAAAACTAAAATTGGAGGAAAAGCGACCTTACCCATAGTTAATTCTAACCAAATTAACTTTCAACAATAAAACAAAGACATATTATGATTAAATTGATTTTTCTATGTTTTAAGAAGATTAAAAAATTTGAATTTTTCATCTTTCCAAAAAAACTGCTCATATCAAAGCGAGGGCTTGATTGCTCCTACTGCCTTTTAAAGTCAATGGAGCAGTAATAAAACGAAAAATTTAAATTGAAAAAAATATTAATTAAAAAGTTTTTTTTATACTTTGAGGATTTTGCAAAAATCTTCTATCCACACTTCAACTAGCTAAATAAAGTACAAAATGATAGTTTTTGCTTCTAGTAACAAATCAATTTTGGCATTCAAAAAAATTATAACGATTTCTAAGACGGATTAAATCTCCGCTTACGCGTTAGAAGCTCGGAATTTCTCACGCGTTAATTGTTCCAAATTGGCAATCTTCAAGCCCATATAACTCTAGGAAAATGTTCACAGGTAAAATATCTTTTCAAATTTAAGCTCAAGACAATAATAGCTTTTGAATGCTTTGAAAAAATCCCTTCAAAAATGGCTAGTTTAAAAGTCAAAATTGTCTGAAGAAAAAAAACAGAGAAAAAAAGAGCACAAATATTCCGCTACTTTTATTACAAAAATCCGTTAATTCAAACCCAATTTTAGGAGGTTCGGGGGCGTGGTGGGATTTTTCAACAAAAATACAAAGACATATTATGACTGTTTTGATTATTTTGATCTTTGAAGCTAAAAACATTCCTTTTCATCATTTTTTTAAATTTAATTTTTCGTGTTATTAAGCAACCGTAGACCTCAAAAAGCAACCGCGACAATCAGGGCCTCCCCTTAATACGAGCAGTCTTGTCTTTTTTCAATTTAGCAATTTTCAGTTGATCAAGATTCAATTTTTTAACTTAATAAGGTTATCAAATGTTTTGGTTTTTTTGCTTGGGTCTGTGCTTTGCTATTAGCTCGTACTGAATGATAAAAGTCTCAAAAACTTTTAACGATGGTTTAAGTGAATCCCAAATGCTTTTTCTATGAATGGGAAAATGCTAGTCATACAAGTTTCTAACGATTTCAAAATGAATTTCAAGCCGTCTCATCGGCACGCTAATGCCCTACACTGAAACACCTTTTTCATTTTTTTTGCAAATTCAAAAGATAAAGACTTTAATCTTCAATATTGTATTACACGTGACTTTAAGCGAGCTTTCCTTCGTACTAAATTTGGAGGAAAACCCCACAGTTAATTCTGACCCAATTTAAGAGTGGTAGGGGGTTCAACATTAAAACAAAGACATAATTCAAGTATTTCGCTTGCTCTGATTTTGATTATTTTAAGACGACGAAAAAATTTGATTTTTGTAATGATGGTAAGAACGGTGATGGTGTTGTTTTGTTTAGATGACGCATTGCATTCAAATGAAACCAGCTGATTCAGAGAATAGAAAAGGTAAGTAGTTATTATAAATTATTCATTTTTTCTTCAATCCAATTTGCACTTCTTTAGGACAGTATAGTGAAACAAAGAAAAATTGAGATTTTTTGAATCCATTTTTTCGGGGTGTAAATAAACCAGCCCAAAATTTACGCCATGCGAATGAAATTTGCATAACTGTTACATACTTGTTACGTGAGTGTTATCTAACAATTAAGTATTTTCGGCTGGCTTTTATAGCGCTATTGTTTTAATTAAACAACTTTTATTCAAAATTTTGGATCCCTTTAACCATTTCGCCCTATGGCACCTTGTAAAGAATTGCCACTTCTATAAAAAAACTCTTTGAGCTATTCAGCTTATGCAAATTTTGTACATAGTACCGAATCCCCCCTTTTGCAGTGGAGGGGGAGAGGGGTCATTGAATGAGATTCATAACTTTTAAATTGCAGCAGGGGCGGATTTAGGGGAGAGGGGGCGGGGGGGGGGGGGCGGACGCCCTTTCCCTTAGGAATTCGACCCCCTGCCGACCCAAAGGGTCCCCCCTTTGATACTTTTTCAGAAATCCATTTTTGGCCGACCGACCCTAAAATTTTTCTAAAGGCGCCTTTGGCGCCAACATATACTAACTTTGAGGGGGAGCGCGCGCCAAAAAAAAACGCAATTTTTTTGTCAAAGTTTTTCAAAAAGTGCCCAAAAACGGCTTTTTTGACTGTTTTTTCAAAAATTTGCCTGCGGCGCAGAAAATTTTGAGCCAAAAAAGGGGCAAAACAGTGCTTTGGGAGAGCTCGAAAAATAAATTTGGTCGACCTAAAAAAAAAAAGGTCGTCAAAATTTTCGAATTTTTTTTTAAAATCCGCCCCCCCCCTCGAGAAAATCCTAGATCCGCCCCTGAATTGCAGTATCATTTTTTTCTACTTTATAAAATTATATTGCAGTTTCAAATTTTCTAAATTTTAAAATTTTTATCTATTTAGATCTAAGAAAAAACGTTTAAAGTAAGAGTCAATTTTAACACAATAGAATCGTGAAATGGCGCCACTGTTCTTAAACAACAGTGATATTCAGTGAACAGTGAACAATCAGATGATGCACGGTAAATCTATAAAATCGACGAGCGTGAAGTGTGAACAAAAGATACTCGTTTTACGTTTTCTGCACTTGGGTAGTTTTTACAACCGAGTTTGCGGCTTTAGAGTGTGTTGCCGCCATTACAGTGTCATTGCCATTCCAGACAGATATAGCACCAGGTTTCGATTGTAAAAATTCGTTTCTACTAACTTTTTGATTGCAGAGAAAAAAAAACAAATGAAAAAAAAATTGTTATCAACAAAAACAATAACACGCTGTTATAATTTTTTCATTTTTTTCTACTTCTAATTCAATTTCACAGAACTTATTTATAATTACAACAGTTCCAAGCTCTAAAAAAACGAATTATCGTTCATAAGTAAGTCATTAATTTTGAATTTTAATTTGCTTTAAATTATCCGGACAAAACGATTAAAAACTTGAAATTTTAAACGCGCTTTCACTAGTTGGGTTGAATTTGTACAAAAAAAGAAGAAAACCAAAATTTTTTAGATTTTTACCAGAATAATTATAATCCAATCTATTTTACAAAAAAAAACGGAATCAAATTTTCATCCCAATTAAGAGTCACTTTAACTTTTTTCTATAATCAAAAACTACACTTCAGCTACTAAGTTAATTGATAGGAAAAGTATACCAAAAAGCGTTTTACTTGGCCGAACAAAGCTTAAGAGTGTTAATTATTACAAACCTGTATAAAAAAGCACATTTTTGCTTGATAAAAAAGCGTCATTTTTACTATATAAAAACAATTGCTTAAACATTTTGGAGACTTTACCCTTTTAAAACTCTCTTAATTGGGCAAGAGGCTCATCTTGGTAAAGTTTTTGTGCCAGTTAAGTTGGTAACTTAAGCTTAAATTTTGATTGATTAGAAAAAAATAAAGTGACTTATTTTTGGGATACATTTTTGTTTCCGATTTTCGCAAAATATAATGGATTATAATAGTTCTGTTAAGAATCTCAGCAACCTTGGCGCTCTATTTTTTTTGTCTAATCTCCACTTAAATGGGAAAAACGATTTAAAGTTTCAATTTCGTACCTATAAATTAAATCAGCACTTTTTTTCAGTGATTTATTGAATTAATCCTAATTTTTTTTTTTTTTTGATAAAATGTTGATTGTTTTTTGTTTTACGGCCAAAATTTGTCATCTTGTTATCCCGGGTTGACCTCCATAAAGCTAAAATGCTTATCTTACAATTTCATACATCGAAAACGCTTATCATACAAGTTCATACATCAAATGTTAGGAAAAATGCTAATCATACGATTTTCATACAATTTCAAAAAAACATTGAAAAAAACTTCCAACTAGTTTCTACGGCTATTTGAACCAGACAAAACAGTCTTGTGATGAAAAAAACTATGTTTTTTTGTGCAAAAAATTGGTTATCATACAACTTCCAGATACAAAAAATGTATGACTAGCATTTTTTTGATGGCGACAACAAAACTTTTCCCAAGTAATATTGAAATTGCCCAAATTTTTGCATTCAAATTTCATTTTTTGTCTGTAGTCCTGAATACACAAAAATTGGAATTTTTTCCCTTTCTGGATAATTTTTTTAAACAGGCTAAAAACTCCTATTTCTTTTATATGGCATGTTTATAAATGCCTTGATCAATGTCTGATAATTTGAAAATTTTAACTTTAAAAATAATCATCTTTGAAAATTTTTGCCAACATTTAAAAGCTTGATGTTTTTAGTATATGATTTGTGAAGATAACTCACTAACTTGCAAAAACTAGTCGATCAACCCTTTGGTGACTCTTATTATGATTTAATCACTTGTGTTCGGTCACGAACACATCCCAAAATTTTTGAAAAACAAAATTTTTTAAAAAGTCAACTTTTTGATTTATGAAAAAATGCTTGTCCTACAATTTCCATATTTTTTCAACTTCCTCTTTTCAACTTCCTTTTAATTTTTTTCAACTTCCTCTGTATCTATGGAATTGTACAAAATTGTATGACAATCATTTTTTCATATATGAAAATTGTATGATAAGCATTTTTGGTCAATCCGGGATATTAAAGTTAACTGATAATTTGATAGCAAGTAAGTAAATGCAGATACAATTTGAAAATTCATCGATATCTCAAACTCATATAACGTTTTTCTTTTTGCGGCCGTGCAAAAGAAACAAATAACCCAAACTTATTGATGTCGCAGAGCAAATCAACACTGCTTCAAATTTATTACAGCAATGTTTAAAAATTTATAAAACTTTACACATTTTTGCAATTATTTACTTCTTTGTTGATTCTGATTGATAAGCACAGATAGGTGTTTGACACTTTTTAAGAACCAGGTTTTTGCATAATTTAATCAATAAATACAATATTTTATACTGCAAAACAATGACATTAAGACAGCAAATGCGAACTAAAATTTACCAAATTAAAATGTTCGAATTCAAGCAAAATATTTATCTGAGAAATTAATTATCCATGCTTTTGTATGCAGCGTCTTCTTTAAGTCCCACGAATGAGGTTGTCGTCTTAACAGCTGTCGTCTTATTTGCCGGGCACTATCAGTGCTGTTACTACTGTAATTTTTTCTCTGATTTTTTATCTCTGATCA